CACTGTAGTCAAACCCTGGGGCAGTGTCTGCCCCCTGAGAATTTACTCTGTAAAGTGGGGATTACTGTCATTGCGGTTTTGGAAAAAGCAAAAACTGTCAGAAAGGGATGAAAAAATCCTATGCCCCAGACTGCCTGGCACTGAAATCCATGCTTTTCATCTCCCAGCCCTGCTGCACCGGGGGGGATGTTCTCACCGCCTTGGATTTCTTCATTTCTGGACTTTCATAGCTACTGTTCTTGCTTTAGGCACTTAGCACATTGGTAATGGGTATAATCGGATTATTTGCTACCAAATGCTCATCTCTGTCTTGACAGTTATTTTGGATGTTTGCAAAGTGGTACCCAGCTCTATTTTTCCCTCTGAAAGTACTGATAACTGCCTGGACTTTGGAAGTTACCTTGTACATCCCGATGCTTTAACTCTTCTTGAAGAGTAGAAGTTTTAGAGTAGTTTTTAAGACTACATATTTAGTGTGGGGCATGTTTCTGCTGGCAAACTAGTTAAGATTTGTCTGCTGCATGATTTTAATGGAATAAGGACACTGGGTTGATCTGCTATGTTTTGTTTTATTGGAGCTTTTTTGGGAGGCTTTTCTTTAGCAGTTCCTGTAAAAAAGTTACTTAAATTAGTTTTAAAACAGCTGGAATAAAATCTTTTTTTCCCTCTTGAAAATATGAATATTTTGTCATTTTGAAACGAGGATGTTTTTCTGAACATCTAGATATCCAAATATTTGACTTTGAGCTTATTTTCATTTTTTCTGCTTTTAAATTGTTTACGTTTTCCCCAGTGCTTATAAATAATTCCATGCCTTCTGAAAAGCTTCATAATGAGCAAATTTGAGAGGAAGAGGAAAAAAAAAAGAAAAAGCTATTATTTCGCTTGCACCATAATCTAACAAAAGATTGCTCAGAGCAACACCAAGAAATAACTGGCTGTTATTGAACAGGAAGTTTCTATAGAAACATTGACTGCGTTCCACTTTCTCAGACAGCAGCCTGGATAGGGCTTTTTGTTTTTTTTTAATTGCTATGAGAACTTTTTTGCTTTTAAACTTTGTGCGTGAACATGTTCTGCTTGTAGAAAACACGTCTGGAAGGAATTGGAGTCTTAATTTACCTCTGGCTACAAGGCAGTGAGTCATTCCTGACAGCTATTTTGTCTAACCTGTTCTTAGAAATACGGAGCGATGATATTTTTACGGCTGCCGGACGTAGGTGCTGCGATGCTGCCTTCTTGCCCTTCCTCCATGTCCAAGTATCTGCCCTGGCTGTAACGTGAAGAGTGTTGGACTCTTCTCCATGTGTGAAGTAGCATCTTGGGAGCTGCAGGCAAATATTATCTCTTCCCTCTGGCCTGTCTTTGAGATTTAAATCTCGGTCCTGCAGTGTGCCTCTCGGGCAGTGCTTTCTAGCGCTCTTGCACTGTTGGTGTGAATTTTTGCTGCTGTATAATGTCGACTACTATAGTGATTGCTATAAGCAACGGATTCCTCTTTCTGGAAGTGCTACCTAGCTGTTTGCTTCCCCATGTTGCATTTTGCAGTCAACTGCAAATTTTGAGTAGGTAGCATCATCTTCAGGCTGCCTTCGCAGGGTTACAAGCTATTTTACAGTTTCCTGAGAAACAGGAGACTAAGGACTGATGCACAAATCCTTGTTTTCTCGTGAACTGGGTGTTGCATTTCTATGTGTCTTGTCTTGTTCTCCAAAAGTGCTTAGCTTATGGGGCTGGTTGCTCTGATACCCCATCAGCCAGGTTGTCCACACCCTAGGGTGAGTTTAATGACATTTAACCTGTTGAAAACACTTAATTTAGGTATGTAAACCTGTTCTCTTCCTAGTTTAGTTTGAGTTCTCCATTGACATTGGGAAAAAGCAAAATAAAAGGTGAAAACACTTCGTTTTCTTGGCATCATGGGGAGGTGCTAGTCCTTGCTTCCTTGCGCCTTGGACCAGCATTTCCCCACAATCCTATCATTACAGGGAAAGATATTTTTATTAGCCTTTTTGTTTGCCCTTTGCTGGTTGTATCTTGTTTTGTGCTTTGAGCTTTCCGATTATGACCCTGTGTTCTTATGTTCTCCTTTTTATTCCCAGCTGGAGGACTGCTGAGGTGCTTGAAGAGCTCATGATTCTGCCAGATTAGTTTCTTGTTATACTTTGTGTCGTTTTCTTTATTGCCACAGTTTGCACTTCTGTCTTAATAGGGTTTAAAAACCGTCAGTTTTCCCAGACAACTTTGCTGGAAACTTTCCTCCTCTGGGAGCTCACCTGTCAGCTCCGAGTTCACTGCTTTCTTGAACTCAGTGGTTTTTATTCTGCTCTCTTGCTCCGGTCCCTTCCTGGGAATGATGTGCTCTCTCCTTTCATCATCCCTGCTGCCAGTGTTTCCTCACCTTCATGTTCTCTACCAGCTCTCGGCATCAATCACTGCTCACTGGAGTAAATGACGCTTTGCGTTTGTGTTGCGTTTCCCCTCGCTTTCTTGGAAGACTCGGTATCAAGTTTTGCTTGCAGGAGGGCATGGCTCTCTCGAGAGGATTGTTGCTTTGCTTAGGGCCATGCTGGGGGTCAAGTGCAGAATCAACCTCCTTTTAGGAGTCCTGACCTCAAGCCCATCTTTATTTATGGTTGCTGCACAAATACAGAAATTGCCAGACCTCAAGTGAAGAAAAAACCCTTCGTCTATAACTAAGCAGATGCAAGGGGGAAATGCCTCCATTTTGTGATGGTGTTGCAATAAATCTTGCCTTTTCCCATCACTGGAATTAGTACTATTGAACGGACATGTCTGTGGTGATTGGGCAAACGGGTGATTTATTAAACACCGAACAGCCGCTTGGGGAGTTGAAGGCTCTGCTCCAGTGAAGCCCACGCTTTCCTCGCCGGTGTCTGAGGGACTGCCGGGGAGGTCTCCATAACGTTGGCAACTCATACTGGGAGATCAGTGCTCTGATGAGGGTGCAGAGAAGGTTCAGTGGGAGGCCGCGGCCGGGAGCAGGGGAGAGCTGAGAACTACCCCTTTGCCTTGGTGGGATCTCGCACAACTTTCATAGTACCGTAGAGCATCACGGTTGGAAAAGACCTTCAAGATCACCGAGGCCAACCGACAGCTCTTCAAGGCCAGGCCTGGTGAACCGCGTCCCTCAGTGCCTCATCCGCGCGTTTCTTGAGCACAGCCAGGGCCATTTGCAGGAGCGATCACGGTTTGCCTTTGGAGTGTTAGCGCAGCTTCTCAAATGAGCACATTTGGGACCTGAAGCTCCCTAATACGATAAGGCTTTGGGACAAGGTGTTCAGTGTGGCACGTTACTGTGAGAAGGGCAGCAGTGCTCGACTCCCCACCAGTTTTTGCTTCCAGCGCTTCTCAAGACGTGGGCACATAGCGAGGAGGGTGATACAGGGGTCACAGGGAGGGAAAAGTGACAGTTACATTTTGGCTGTGCTAGGGTCTGTGAAAGGGTCTCCTAAGCCATGAAATGTTGCCCTTTCTCCCATATTCGAAGAGAATTGCTCTCTGCCAAACAAGCTGCTTTGTAGACATGACCTGGTGTGTTTATTAAACAGTTAGAATGTGTTAAATTCAAGGGCTGTTACACACTAATAATTAATGGCTGTCCAGAGTACATCAAGAGTCTATTGATTTTCTGCCAGCTTGCCCTATTAAATATACAAGGTACAAGCTATGTAGTTAAACATGTAAGAGTTTTATAAATGCCTTTTTATAGCTAGTATTCAGAAATTTTTTCCATGTTGGCAGCCTAAAAAAGTGGGAACTCCAAAAAAGCAGAGCTGCTTTAGCTAAGAGGTTGTTATCTTTGAGATGGTAGAGCAGTTTGAGAGGAGTATTTGAGTGTTATGCTCTTGAAGTAGACAAACTTTTGGACCAAAAGGCTGCTTTAGGGGATGCCAGGTTCAGAATTCATATATGGATTTAGCGAGAGTCTTGACTTGCACTTGCTAGTCACTGAACCAGCCACTTAATTCTGGAAAAATTGTTTCCCTCTGTCTTTCCCGCTGGAGTTAAATATTGGATGTCACCTTCTGGTGCCACGTAGCTGTGAGACTGAATAAGTCAACTTTCAGGGATGGTGATGAGACCAGTAGATGGACCAGAGATCTCCTGATCAGAAAGCCAGAGTGTTTCTTGATGCTGTATTTTTGTCTGGAGCTGCGATGGTCGACGCTCCTTCTTTCCCCAGGGAGAGGTCCGTACTCTTGCGTTGGTGCTGTCTGCCTTGGAGGCTCTCTAGGTGAGACCATGTCGTGCAGCACTTATGTTACTGGTAGTACTTCATCTGCTGGTCAGAATGCACAGTGTCCAGAGGATTTAAAATGCCCCAAAGTTTTCTTGTGGCAAAGAGGAGGGAATGGGGAGAGTCGGGTATCTTCCAGGCATGGTGCTGATGGATTTGCATGGATAGGCCTTTTTCAAATGTGAAGGTAGGGACCTTTTCTGCCTAGGTAAGGTTGGCTTTTTAACCCAGTGTGCCCAGCTATTTGACAACAGCTGTCCCTCAGGTGGAAGGTGAGCTGCTTTTATTCATGTAGGCTGCTTTGGCTTAAAGAAATCAATATGTTTTGTTTGTTTTGTGTTTTGTTGGTTTTTTTCTTTCTTTGGGGTTTCTGAGTAGCTCAGTGGCTGGCAGATCTCAAATAATGAGAAGCCTCTGTTGAATACATCTAGAGTGTTCAGTGTAGGTGCACCTCTGGCATATTGCAAACTTCCTGCGCTCTCTCTACATTTGAAGTAGCCTCTGGCTTGTCTGTCCTGTCACAAGAGCATTGCACAAGGTTTGGGTTAGAAACAAAAATCTTTCCAGGGCAGCAGTTGGTACCTTTATACCACCCAAAGGATGGCATTTGTGGGTTATATCAGAAGTGGATTCGTGCTGCAAACTTAAAGTTGTTTTTTTATTTTATTCAACAATGCCAAGGTACCCAGGGCAACAGATGGGTTCTGCCTTATATGTTGCCATCTGCAATAAGTAACTCATTCTCTTTTCCTGCAGGCATCATACAAATCCGGTGGGTACAGAGTGGCGATGGAAAATGGATCAACCTGAATTGATCTTGCGAGAGGCTATTGAGAACCATCAGAATATGATCAAGCAGTTCAAAGGTAACTTGTCCCAACAGTGGCATTAATGGGGGAAAGTAGGAGATGATGAACAGCAGCACCTCCAAGCAAGGGTCCAAACATTTTAATCTTGTGCCGAATGCTAGGACGGAAGCAGGAAGCTTGTAACTAATCTAAGATGTGCAAATTGGGAACTTTGGTGACACACTGATTACTTGTTTTCTGAGACATTTTGCCTTTTCTCCTGGCTTTAGAACATTGAAAATCTTATGATGCCTTTGAGGGAGTAAAATGGACTTGCTTCTTGGACATCTTTGGAGTTATCATGTCCTTTCCTTGTGAGGATTTAGGCTTCCATAGTATTTGAAGTGTTTGGGGGGTTTTATTAGGTGTTTTTGAGCATTAGATTGCAACTGAAGCACCAGGCAGTCAGCACCACTCAGACCTCTAAAAATTACTGCAACTTGCATGGTGTATGAACTGCTTGTGAGTTCAGTGTGCATCCACTGTATCTATTTTTCCTCTTCTTTTTCCAATGTAAGAAACGTGGTTGCCTTGCCAAGGTCAGCTGCGTGCGGGAGCAGCTGGCCAGCTTGGCAGGCCGGATCTGGAGCTCTGCTCTTCCTAACTGACAGTGGAGGCCGCGTGAGCAGCGGGAGGTAAATGAAGCAGCCATAAAACGTGCAAGACGAGCCTTAGTCTTGGCTGTCGTTTTGGGAGCTCACTTGTTTATGTTGGCTGTGCGCAGAGAGAACCCAATGGATTAGAGATGTGACAGGGAAAAACTTTTGTCAGCAGCAGAGATTTACAGTCTTGTTCACTGGAGTTACATAACAGGAGGAAAAGCAGCTCAAGTTAAAGGCCCATGAGCTTCGTTTGATTCCTGAAGTTGCTCTCCAGGCCAAGAGCTCTCCAAGGAGCTGTTCAGCGGGAGCTCCCGTTCGGAGCTGGATGGAGAACAGGCAGGGTTACAGGTTCTAGCTGTGTGCTGCCTGCCACGTAGAGCGAAATCCTGCGCGGTTCCGGCTCTGCAGATCAGGCCCCTAGGGAGTATGGGGCAGAAGGAAGGGTGTTGCCATGGGTAAGTGAGAAGGATGTTCATCAGTCATGAGAATTCCTTAGGGAATAGGCCAGATGAGAAGAATTAAGGCAGCAGACAGCAGTTGGTGTTGGTTGGAGTGATGGAAATGCAAGGCCAAGCGCAGCTCTCCAGGCTGGGTGGTTGGTGGCCGTCTTGTTCGGCAAGAAGTGGAGGGCTCTGTGGGAGCGGTGGTGGCCTGTTGTGTCCATGAAGGCTTGGGAGATCCGTCTGTGATGTTGGACCAAGGGGCAACAGGCGTGAGCTGCTGCTTGGTGGGTTCGACTTGAATGTTGAAGTTGTTCAGCAGAAAGGGGCTGCAGCTCTGTGAAAGGCCGCCAAGAGGTGGGGGAACCCTCCAACCTTTGAGATTTTTTGGGATATTTTAAGCAAAACCCCAATCCAGTTCTGAGCCGGTTGTAGGACTAGAGACCTGCGAAGGTCCTTCCTAACGACCATTTCTGTGGTTTTTGCTCTAACTCTTAAAAGCCCTAGAAGTGACAAGCTGCCTCCTCCTAGTCCAGCAGGACTCGACTCTGACTGGGGCCTTTTTCAAGGCAAAGATGTTGTTGAAAGTGACAAATGCTTTTGTGTGCGGTTGCTATTGCAGCTGATGGATGTGTTGTAGGGCCAAAATGTCCAGTGTTCACAAGGGAAAAAGGTGAAAAGAAAAATTCGTTTGCAAGTATGTTCAAGTCCTATCATGCCAAGCCAAGTCCAAGAAACTGTTTAAAACCACCTTCAGGCTTTGGAATAACCTTTGTCTTCCTAGTCATTGCTGTTTTCCCCAAAAGAGGGAAAGACTTAGACAGCCTAAGATAGACTTAGCAGCATTTGAAAAAAAAAAATTCCCAGTTCTCTCTCAGACATTCCCAATTCTCTGTCCTGGAACTTATTTTCAATGAAACAGATTCCCTGGATTACCCTGAACCTTGCAGGGACCTCATCAGCACAGTTATGTTGACCTTGAGCCGTGAAAGGAGAAAGTCTGAGACAAGCTCTGGGTTCAAACTACGTTGCAAAGCTACGGAAGAGAAGATGCGTTTCGTTTTCACAGTGGTAGATGACAGTGCTTCCTGTCCCGGGAGCCTAAAATCAAAGGGTTTATTAAGCTAAAGAAGAAGGAAAAAAAAATAGAAAAAACCTTAAGCCCAGTAGCCAGCTATTATGTTCTGTGAATTTTACACTGTCCTTTCCCTGAGGTGCCTGTGAAAATATTGTCAGAGTAGAATCAGTGAAGGCAAAATTGAGTTGAAACATTGTGCAGGAAATTGCAGGCAGGGAGAGTTCAGGGCTGCCCGGGGCCTGGCGGGACGGAGCTCCCGTGTGCCGAGGCAGCGCCGGGCGCCGTCCGGCCTGGAAGCGCCGCTTCCCCACAGCTTAGCAGCGCTCCACAAATGGTAGGTTGGACTTTATTATGATGGATTTATATATATGTGTGTGTATATATATATATATATATATAATAAATATATATATATGTTTGAGCAGAGCAATGGACTGGATTGCTTGGGCGCAGAGGGAGAGGCGGAGCGGGAGGGCGGGTGGATCTCGGTCGTGCGGCGGCGACGGCCGCGTTGGCTCCAGAGACACCTCCAGCTGGGCACAGCTGCTGGGGCGAGCTTGAACACTGAGCCCCAGGGAGAGCAGAGCAGGCTGCAGGAGATGATGGAGAAGAGGAGCCTGGGGAACATGCCTTAGCCTTGAGGCTTTGAAGTGCAGCCGTGCTGCTCAGATCATACTCTAATTTAATTGCAAAATCGGTGCTCTTCGTAGTGCGAGGCTTTGCATTCCCGTGCACAGACATAGTGTGAGGGAAGTGGCAAACATGCCTTGTAATCCCATCTGTTGGTTTCACTCGCGAGTAAAAAGACATTTTCTGCAGAAACAAAAATATTTGCTGACCCTCTGCTCTCAGTGCGGGAGTCTCTATATGCATGCTTTAAAAAATGGTGTGTCCTGTCCTCTCCTCTTGTTGCTATGCTCAGGATGGAGCTGTGAAGACCACAGCCATTAATCAGTGTCGCACCGGTCTCCTTTAGAGAAACCCATGGAGAAACCGCTGCTGATAGGAGCAAGGCGGGAGGGTACGGACGGCTGATACATTTTTTAGGTGGTGACTAGTAAATCTCTGCGCCCTTCGCAAGGACACGCATGGAGTAGGGCATAATTCAAACGTAGGAGAGAGGGTGTCTCTGATATTATAGCCCTGGCTTAACTTGGGAAAAGCGGGAGTGTTGCCTGGGCTGAACTAGGAAACTCTTTTCCTATCAGGAAGGAATCATGATGGGTCTTAATCATGATGGGTCATAGGATCAGATCTAAAGTCGTGTGTGTCTGTAAGAGTAGATGAAACCTGTTCCTTGTCCTCTCTGCGGCCGCGGGAGCACAGGCGCTTGCAGAGCGGTGCCTGGCGTCAGCACATCATCGCAGTGATGCTGTCCTGCCCCAGCAGGAGAGCAGGAGGAGGCGGCTTTTCGAGGGCCACGTGCTGGTCAAAGGTGCTTTGGCCACTGGCGACGCCAGGGCTCCCGCCGAGACTTGAACTCGGCAGGACCCGGGAGCCGTCGGTCCTGCAGGCCCCGCTCCCGTTCCTGAGGCTCCTTCGCTCCTGCTCCTCCGTCAGAGCTGCCATGAACCATTGCAAATCTGCCTGTAGGAAAGTGCTGGAGGTGCTTCCTGGAATAGCTGCTAATCCCTTCTAGTTTACCTCTGTCCAGCTTGTGATTTATGTGCTTGAGAGACTGCCTATAAAACCTCCCACCTCCTCTGCAGCGTGTTTAGTGTGTGCCGGGTCTGCTGTAAACTCTTTTGAGAAAGTTATTCTTGAGAGCTTTACAGCCTGTTGGAATTGTTCCTACTGTCTGCTTATAAAGCTGGCGCTGCAATTATCATAACCAAAATTGCAAGATGCCAAGAAAGACACATTAATTAATTCCAAAACATGACCTACGGTAGTGTTAGATATAGAAACGTCACTCCTTTAATATCCGTATATGGCTGAGAGTCTCTTCAAATTAAGTCCTCACTTAGTGCTGCCAAGTTTGTGCACAAGAGCCATGGTCCTGTCGCCTGCCCCGCGCTGAGGCTGGCAGGCTGCAGCTGCACGAAGCTTCGCTCCCGTCGCAACCCGGCGTTTCTGCGTGCGGCTGAGGCAGTGCCCAGGAGCATCTCTTTTTTATCTTGCCTTTGCAGCATAGCATGTAATTTTCTGTACTGTTTGAGCTGCAGCATCTAGGCAACGCGAGGTGAGCTGAGGACCTGGTTTCAAACTTAAGTCTTTGATATAATTTTTTTTTTTTTTTTTTTTTTTTTGCAAAAACAGACCAATCCCCTATCTAAAACCTCGGGTATTATTCAAGTGCATCAAGGCATATCAAGGAAATGCAAAGTGACATATTTGGAACAAAAACTTGTTTGTAGTCAGCTAAATTCGTTCGGAGTCCTGAGCGCTTGGGCAGGAATGGATGGGACAGAGGAATGTTGACCCCTCTGCTCTGCTCTCCTGTGGGTTTAGCCAGCCTGGATCGTGTTGGTTAGACCTGCACCTCCTGGCTGTCTCACGTGGATGCTGCAGTTGACTTTCTTGCTTTTTTCCTCTTCTGAAACGGTTCTTCAAAGTCAGAACTGTGCCACATGCGCCACTAAACTAGGCGATCTCCAAAGGTCCTTTCCACCCTCAATCATGCTGGGCTGGTAAAAGCTGGTTCTCTTTTCAGCAGATCCTCTGTCTCTGCAGAGCGCATTTCTGCGGTTATCAGCAGTGATGCACAGTGGTTATTGCTCTGCTCCGAATATGCCCAGCTCCTTCCAGGAGTTTGTCTTCATTTGACCAGGAGACTATCCCACACTTAGCAGCGGAGAGAAGCAAAACCTGGTTTTCTTTCTTTCTTTAAATACCTCCCTGAAGCGGCGCAGATTTTTCACGTTCCTGTGTTTCTATCCCAGGCATCACTGAGGACCAGCCAGACAAAATGTGACTTGAGTGTGGCAAAAAAAAAAAAAAAAAAAGTAACCTGTGCATGGAGCCCCCAACGGAGCGTTCTGGAGGGGTGCTGCTCCTCGGCTGTCAGCAGAGCCCTGTTGCTCGATGCTGGGGTTGGGCTAGTGTCACCGTGTCTGGCTGAGGAGCGCTCCAGTTATGGGTCTCTCTTGTGCCACAGGGTTTTAAATGCGGATATACGGCTTGTGGCAGGTGATGGCTATAGTGACTGAGGGTAATTTCGGACAGTTTTTCCCTCTCTTTCTCAGGAGTGTCGGGAGTCAAAGCAGATCGCTTTGAAGAAGCGATGACGGCGAAGCACTGTGCGCTGTCCCTGGTGGGAGAGCCCATCATGTACCCCGAGATCAACCGCTTCCTGAAGCTCCTGCACCAGCAGAACATCTCGAGTTTCCTGGTTACAAATGCACAGTTCCCAGAGGAGATTAGGTAAGAGCTGGAGAAAATAACTCCCTCGTGACAGACGTCTGTGGTGAGCTCTGTTGTGCTTTATTTCATTGCTTATCAGAGTCTACTCTGCAGGAGTCCTGGCAATGAAAAGGGCTACTCAGCATCTATTTGCTTTTAATCGTCATCTGTCCATGGTATTTCTCATCTCTTTCTCTTTCCCAGCTGGATTTTTTTTTCCCTCTCAAACAAGGTGTGATTACTTTTGAAAGTGAATGAATGTGATATAGTCCCTCCCAGAGGGGTGAGAATGGGGGGAAAAAGAAGGAGGAAAAAAAAGTGTTTGCAACAGGTAGAGCAGGGGGTGAAAGTCATAAATTGCCCTTCTCATCTGCCTGCTCCTGTTGCAGTCTGATCTTTGCTCTGGCTCTGCTGGGACGTCTGTAAAGGCTCAAACTCGAGCTCTGTGTAGCTCAGCATCTCCAGGGGTCCCCAGGATGGTTTAAGTGCATGTGAAGAGCACAGGGCTACATCACCCTCACCTGCAAAAATGTCTTCCCCTGGTGCTGAGAGGAAGTTGTGCTGATTACTGTTCATGACACTTTAATGTATCTTGTTGAAAGCACCTTTACAAATGCAGAGAATTCCTGTTTCTGATGTTTTTGAGCAAGCTGCTTTTAACCAAGACTGAAGCAGCGTGGCACAGAAATCCACCCAATGCCCTTCCCTTGCCTGCAGCGTGTGCTGCAGGTGCCCGGGAGCTTGTCCCAAAGCCACCGGCTGAAACTGGGCACCAAGTCCTGCCTGGGGTCGCTGAGGCAGCGGGGTTGGACCGGAGTGTTCCCGGGATGTGCTCGGCCTGGCCCTTCCGTGCGATGTCTCTTCATATGGGTGCTCTCACGGGGCTTCCTTTTTCCCTCCTCTCCATGGTCAGAGTGTGGCAGTGATGGGGGCAGAACCATGCAATTTGAGTGAGTAATTATGCACTACAAAGGTATGCCAGGTGATGGAGTGATTGTGTAATCAAGTTACTTTAAAGTCATGTATTGTGTGCCTGAGGGACAGGAATTGCTCCTTCCTAAAAATAGCATTTCTTTAAAAAAGAGACCATGCACTGTATTTTGAAGATATATTTCCTAGGATCAGCCAAACAATTTTAAAAAAGAAACCAAAAAAAAGTGATAAAAATGCTAGGCTGGCTGTCTTAAAAATTGCACCTGCGCTTTGGCTAATCAAAGCAAATGATTTACTTAATATGAGAATTGAAGTGTACTGCACTGAGCTAATCTTCAGCTGTCAGCAGCGGGGAGCTAGAGTCTAAAAGTTGGCATTAAAATAAGCAGCAGCCATCCAGCATGCGGCGGGCAACCGCGGGAGGTGGCCCGGAGCCCTCCCCGTGTCCGCGGGGGTCCCGCGGGCTCCCAGCGGTGCTGCAGGCTGTGGCATCCACATCCTCCTCCTTTCATTTTTGGACTGCGTGCGCACGTTTTGGTGAAGTTAATCAGATTTTTGTTGCACAAGTGCTGGCCTGGGTGCGCGTAGTGTCTCCTCAGCTGTTCCTAGGGTGGGTTTTGGTACCGTTGACTAGGTGACTTATGGTTCATGGCTTATGCCTGAGTTCATTTTACAAATGGTAAATGCAGTAGGCTCAAATTTGCTCTCCTGGACTCAGTGTCAGCTGTCTAGGTCTTGTTTGTGAATTAAAACCTCAAATAAGGAAGAACCTCAGAAAATCCATTGCAGATACCGTGCCATGGGCAACATCACTTGGTATTCTGTTTCCTCCTGGTGATGGGCAGACCCCTGACTCTCATCTCCCTGCTATTCACGTGCTAGGTCCCATGCTAGTCGTAGGTCCAGGCATGTCCAAGCAAGTTCTGCAGACCCTCAGTGGGGTCTTGTTACGCTCCTGCTTCGTCTTCTCCAGTGCCAAGTGTGCTGGGCCTCACCTGTCAGGAGGACACAGAGCCGTTGAGAAGAGATTATTTTCTCTGCTCATGCGCTGAACAACACCCACGACATCTTCATTGGGGCCTCTTAATTAGGCAAATGGAGGATTAGCAGAAGAGAAGAATATTCTGCCTGTGCTGCTTGTAATTGGATACTTTGAACCATTTGTGCCTAGAATGCTCCAGTCATTTTGGAGTTTGTGACGTTAGGCTGCTGCTCCAGAAAAGCTTGTTGACAGACTGATTTATACACACACATGTGTGTGTGTGTGTATATATATATATATATGTATAGGTATATATATTTAAACCTAAAATATTTCCTCCTGGCTGTTTTAATCATCTAATTAGATAATGTGTTTTACTAGGTTGCTTGCATGTTCATGTCAAGTAACAGCCTTTTTTGGCCCCTAACAGCTCTACTTTGTCTCATTCTGGACAGTTCTTCTCATTTTATCACCTTCAAGGGGAAATTTATTATATTTTTAGGCAGTACTGTTTGGCAGCTGAACAAAAGCTTCTAATTTCTTCTCTCCTGAAGAACCAAATTAAACTGAAAGTGTCGCCTGTATCATTAACAGCCTTCACAGAAAGTCCTAGCAAAGATTCCTCCCTGACATGGTCCAAGAAGCGTTAGGAGCCAAAGAGCTGCACAGTGCAGCTTGGTGTCCGGCGCTTCATCTCGCAGACACGGGGAAAGCAAGTGGCCTTTTAGCGAGCGCCCGGTGTTCGATGAACGTGCGCCCGTGCCACCGCGCGACGAGGAGCCTGTGTCAACATCCCCGGCTTCAGCTGGCTGCTCTGTGCCAAGGGACCTCGCTCGAGTTTCGCGAGTTATTTGCTCTTCGTTATCTGTTTGCTAATAGACCACGGTGGTGTTTGCTCTCCTCTGTGCTTCCCTGCAGTGTGTGTGTGTGTCCGCATGCTTTTGGGATGGCTCAGCTGGGCACAGCCTCTCGAGCCAGCAGGAGAGGTTTAGTCTTGCAGATGTTGCCTGTGTTGGGCTTGCCAAAGCCACGCTCAGCCCTGGTACGTGACCAGGGGCATTGCTGCAGGATTTATGTGATATAAGGGCTGTGCTTTATTTTCTCAAACGGTCTTGATTTTTCTCCAAAAATTCTTGGACTGATGATGCAAGCTGCAGATAGGTTCCACCTGACCACTGGTAAGAATGGGCCGACTTGCAGCTGTATTTCTATGAGGTGGCACTGCCTTTCTGCAAGCCAGGGCAAGTGTTTTTGGGGAAGGGGTTGAGGTTTTGGGGTCTTAGCTCGGAGCTAGGGTGTGAAGCAGTGTCTTTCCTGTGAAGCCAAGGAGAGCCCTCCCGTCAGAGCGTGCTTTGGAAAGCCTTTCTGCGCGGTTTGCAGCTCTGCTCGGACATAGTACGTTCCCGTTCTCTGCTCATTAAGAAGTCATCTGAGTCCTCTGTATGTGTGACTTTCCAAGTCTTTGGGTGTGTTTGGTGAGACAGTAACTATTAAGACTACAGCTCTTTTGGCAAAGATGATTCCCTGAAGCTTGACTTTTTTTTTTTCCCACATAAGTACTGTGTAATTCCTTTTACTGCTGCAGCTTGTTCCGACTGTTTTCTGCAAAGATTCAGTAAGCAGAAATGTCTGAAAAATAACAATTCCCCTCTCTTTTTTTTTTATTTTTATTTATTACCAAGGAACCTTGAGCCAGTAACGCAGCTGTATGTCAGCGTGGATGCCAGCACCAAAGAGAGCCTGAAGAAAATTGATCGGCCCCTCTTCAAGGATTTCTGGCAGAGGTTTCTAGACAGTTTAACAGCCTTGTCTGAAAAGGTACCCAGTAAAGAAAATATATATATTAACTTTCTTCTGCACATGATCTACCTGGGACAGACGTGGAAGACAGAGATGCTAGAGGGACACTGGGGTTGAGTTCTGGTTGTCTTTGGGTGCTTTTATGTGTTCTGTGTATGAAGATACAAAGTCTGTCAAGTTGGAAAGGTTTTTTGCATGGAAAGAAGTTTCAGGAGAAAAGGAAGGCAGAATCTGCTTTGCAAAAGGACAGTAAATTTTGCTGCAAATATAAGTCACTCTAAGAAGATTATAAGCTAATAGAAGATTTCCTCGTGAAGCGGTTTACAGTGAAATCAGGCTGCCAAGGACTGGCAATTCAGGGAAGCCCGGGAGGACTCTCAGGGCCATATGTGGGACTTAGCACTTGTTCCCAAAGGTTCCCTTGAAACTGAAGCATGCAGAGGACATTAAGGTGCCTGTGCTGGAGTCTACTAGCTTTAGTTACCCTCCTGCTATGTTGGATTAAAGACACGTTTGAGAAAGGCTTAGTTACAACAGTGAATCTAAGCATAACAGTAAGGACCCCCCTTTAATGTGCTGCTGGTTTGTGTCCATCGGAGGCAGCTCAACAGTGAGCTGAAAGCCTGTGGACTCGTGCCTGATACTGTCAGCTCAGGATTCAGTCCATCATATTACAGCTCTTACAGTAATTAATGAAGCCCTCGTGGTGCGCAGCATCACGTGTGTTAATAGGGAAAGTGCTTCATGCACGTGTCTCCTCTCTTGTTTACTGCTCCTGTGCTCTGATGATTAAAAGAAGTACTTCTATTTGCAGGTTTGGCAGAAGGTTGCATGTCACCTGCTGAGGTTAATAGATAAGAGGGCCTGTTTTATTTGAGTAATAAGTTTTATTACCTTCTGCAGTGACAATATTGGGCTGTTCTCTGCCAAATATATGAGCGGATCTGGGAGGCTCAGTGTAAATTAGTGGTGCTCTCTCCTGCAAAGGCAGATGGGTGGCTTTACCAAGCTGCTTGCACTTAACTGTGTTGGCTGATCTCCTTAGGCAAAATACGAGGCCAAATCCATGAGCTTACAGAAAGCAGAGATGAACTTCTCACTCCGATCTCTGTGAGAACGGAGGAGGTTGTGGAACAAAGGGAAGCTGAAATGAAACAAAAATATTTCAGAAGTCTTTTGGGAACTTGCCTTTGCTCATCATTTCTCTCCTTCTGTCTGTCTTGACCCTGGATAGATATGAGGGCTGCTGCATGTTGTCAGAAATTTCCTTGCAAAGAATTGAAGGTGAATGTATTGGCAGGTCTGTCCATGCAGCTAAAAATACTCTGGTCAAGGTGAAGTTGTTCAACTAGCAGGTGCAATTTCCCCTAAAGGCAACTGCTCTTTGAAGGGTCCTTGAGATACGGGTATCATGAGCTAATTAAGAGTTGCTGCAGTCAGTAATACTGCCAGTGTCCCGCTCTGCTGGTGAGTTAGGCCACCAAATGTGGGACACAACGAGAAGGCTCTAGGAAGCCACAGTTTGTTACGTTCTTCTAATGTTAGACCTGAGCCTGGCTGTAGAAGGCCCCTAAAAATTACATTTCTCTGCTTAGAAGCACAAGAAGCTTTCTGCGTGGTGCATTGCTTGCTTGCTATTCAAGTGGGATGTTAAGCACCGCTTCATAGGACGGTGATGAATGAAAGGTGGTGAAAGCTAATGCATCTTCTGATATTCTTGAGAAATACAGTTCATATTTCCAAATAGATGGGGAAGTGCTGGTGCATTGTGTTGGGAAAATGATGCTATATATCTGGTAACAAAATGCAAGGCTCATACTTTTTACACCACCTGACAAGTTGTCCTGGTTTATTCTCTGGAGACTGAGACAAGCTGGCATTGCAGCTGATATGAGTCACTGCTAATAAGAATCACTGATGGGTTTGATTTTTTTGGCACTTTCAAAAAAGAAAATAAACGGGAGAGAAGGGTTCCTACAGACACAAGTTGTACCTTGCTGTGCTTGCTGTTGTGCTGTTGGGTAGGTGCTGTTCCTGCTCCAAGAGCTGCCTGTGGTACTCACTTGGGTGCATGTGAAGAGCCTGGCAGGCCCTGGGGCTCTGACGTGGTTGATGCTGTAGAGATGTGCTGTTATAGACTGTTCCTGCTGCAGCATGGTGATAATTTAAATAGATGGGTGAGAATAAAAGAAACACACGGAGGGCCGAAGATGGACGGTCTCTTGTCCTCCTTGGGCTCCCTCTCTCTCACTTACTCATTTTGACTGAAGCTCTGGGCGAAGTTCTTGAGCCATTAATAAATAAAGGAATAAATGTAATAAGGAATTGTTCCCAGTGTGTTTTCACAGCATTATACAGCATGCCAGGGATTACTCACTGCAGCAGTTTCAAAGAAGGTTCGGGGGAAAAAAAAAAATCCTTCGTGATATTTCCTTCAGGAGCAAGCAGAAAGAAGCCCCCTTGTTGCCCCCTTCTCTTTGGAGTAAATTTTATCCTCATTAGGATGAACTTATGTCAAATCCTCCATACTGAGCCATGCTTCTTGAGAAAGGACTTGATGTCAAGGAGCAGCTGGGCTTTGAGAGGGCTTCATTTGTTTCTCGTCATGTCTTCAGCCCTCCAAGGCAAAGTGAAAGGAACAGGAAAACTGTTCACATGGGCAGTCTAGAATGTGCCCTTTCCAAACGTCTTGTGTGAATAGTCTGGTAGTCTCATCCTGTGACAGCCTTTAGTTCATCAGAATAGTTTGAGGTGACTTCCCTTGATGAACTGAGCACTAGGAGGAAGTACTAAGGAAGAAACCCTATTCTCATCAAAAGGATGAGAAATCTGTAGTCTAGTGATCTCAACTCTAGAGAAAAAAGATGATGATGCAAATACCAGCAGGCCATACCCCATTTGTGATTGAGCGTTGTATTTCAACACCTCTGGGCTCACTGGTGGGTTGTTTTGGGAGTTTTTCTGAGGGGAGGGAGTTGAGAAGGTAGCTCTTGAAGCAAGTGGTTGCTGCCCCATGGAAGTCCGTGGGCTTGGTGGCTGCAGGAGGGTTGGGGACATGATCCCTGTTGCTCTCTCGTGCCTTCTGAAGAGCACTCTATCACCTTGCCATGGTGTCACCTCATCCTTCTGTATCTTCTGGGCTTAATCGTGATGAATCCTGTCCAGTCTGCTCCCTGCGCTGTAGCGCAGAGGACTTGCTGTGCTGCCAGGCACAAGTAGGCAGCGCTGAACTGCTTTACCTTTCCGAGGACAGGTGCCAACGTCCTCTTAAACAGATTGGAACCACACACAGCGAGCGGGGGGAGGAGAAAAAACCCTTTAGGTTAATCAATGTTATGGCACTGCAAGAACTGATGATGAAGCAGAGCCTTGTCCTGCCTGTCCTTCCAAGAGGGTCACAAAAAAGGCAAGGAAGAGCTTATTGGAGCTTTGTGGAGTTCAGTTAACAACTTGTGTCTTAAGTGATTCACGTTTGCTTTAGATCTCTGATAAAGCCTTGTCCTTTTTTCTTTCTTTTTGACATTGTTCTTTAGTTTTATTTTTTGTTATTGTTTTTTTTCCTACTTCAGGGGAATTAAGTTTTCACTGTGAAACAGGGTCATGGCTCTGTGGATGAGGCGTAGCAAATGTGTTTTTTTCCTTTTCTTTTTTTTCCCCTCTATTAAAAAGGACAAAGTAGAAATCTTAGCTCTGCTTCTCCTAAGATACCACATTTCTAACAGTGCTATGTCTGTAGGTGTTGGAGCCTGGGGGTATGTGCTTCTTGCCTGGAGGTGATAGGTTTGTCCAGAGAAAGGCATGAAATATTATCCAAAAAAAAAAAAAAAAAGCCTTGTATTGCTGTCTTCCAGCTCTGCATTTGTAACGCTGCTTACAAGTAGCTTCACTTACGTTTCTGGATGATGAAGATGCCAACTTGCAGTTTGGACTTGCACCTGGTGCCGATGACTTGGGGGTCTCTTCCCTTCCCATCCCTCCAACAGGTCCTTCCTTCAGAGTTACCCCTGGCGTCTGTGTGACTGCAAACGCAGTGTAGATGCATTGAGTTGCATCTCAAGCTTTACTGCTTATTATATGATACATGACAGTAATGAATGTTTTTATGAAAAGATCACATTTGGTTTTCATGGAGATGATTTATGTGGCTCCTGGGGGAGGGGTGCTGGTTCATAGAGCCTAGTTTGTGTCTGAGCTAAGTGATGTTTTAGGGAGAATTTAGATGTAAAATTTACAACAGATGTGAGAAACTGTAATCAATTTTGCCACTGTAAATTTAGAAGAATTTGACTTCTGCGCAGTGAACGCTCTCTACCAGCTGTGTGCTTGTTTTAATGGTTTTGCTAATGAGACTTCTGGTACAAGCCTTTTGAAATGCAGTATGACGAGTGTTACAGGGGTACAATATTTAATATTAAGTTAAAGTGTTTGAAATGCATCATCTGCTTTCGGCTTATCGTACAACAAGCAGTGATCCAGATGAGGCTTCGACAAGATTCTTGGCATCAGAGGAATGAAATCCAACTTCCATCTATTTCTAGTGTCTCTTGGTTCACTTGTGGGAAAGAGAAGAAACAAATCTTTGTGACCACATTTGGGAATCAAAATGGCATCATATTCCACGTTACTGGTTACCAGTGTTCATTTTAGGAGGACAGGATGGAGAGGCCAGGAGGGAAAGGGAGGTGTCTCTGGGTGCCCTGTGAGCCTGAGCAGAGGAGCAAGATCCCCGTGGTCTTCACACCTTGCCGGGTGCTCTGCCTGTTATCGCACACCCATCCCTTAGACTTGTCACAACGTGGGGCTTTGGGCTAACCAGCTCTGAGGGTTATTGGTCTCCTGCTCATCCCTACAACATGAGCTGCAGAAGCTGCTGAGCATCCACCCTTGGTCTTGGTGGGAGACACATCTCTCCCTTCCCACATCTTCTGGACATGGCCTGTGACCTATGAAGTACAAATGGGTGAGAGCCTTCCTCCCCATCCAGGCTCCTCTCTGCTTCCCCTTCTGGTGTGTTTTTG